TTTTTTATGAAACCAAAGTTTGTACAGCTAGCAATGTAATTTAATTATCAAACAAAGTAACAAACTGACTAAAAATCTCCTCTTGTCGCAATAAGCAGATAATAATTACAGTAAAAGAAAGAGTCAATACGTTTTTTAAAACAGTCACTTAAATTTTATAAGCAAAATACACCTTAAAAAGTCTCAATATAGTATGAAGAGATTTAAAATATCATCCAGCTTTTTGCTATATCATTGCATCAGTAATGAAAAAATAAATTCTTTAAAAACATTCTCTTTTTAAACCTCTAAGGTTTTCATTGTGCGTAAAATAAGTAAAAGTAGTTTTCATGGTACAACTTAATCAGTAACATACTAAGATGGAAATAAGCCTTGTGATCCTAGCAAGATGAAAAGTAAGGTAAGAAAGCTGTAAAAGTAGCCTTTTGAAAAATAATTTTTACGTAAGTATCAAATGATTACTTTTATCCATGGACTAAAGTAGATTTGCAGCATCAGGAGCGAGAAAAATTGTGTATTCATAGCACAAAAAATTGAAATTCTCGTAAAATCAAAAGCCTGAAAAAACAATTGAACGATACATCATACCGCGTTAAAAGAGGTGAGTTTCTGGATTCACGAAATTCAAAACTATTTGCGCAAGGCGTCTGAAACGGTAATTAATGCAAATTGCGACAATTTCCCTGATTTCGCTCGTCCCAAGCGAGTGTCAGTTAGTTAAAACTAGAGTAGAGCGCCGGCGTTGTTCGAAACTCGAGTGCGCTCTATGAATCTCTTAGGTGATTCGGCTAGGTACTCGCGTTTCAAATCAACTTACTTAAAAAAAAAAAAAATGCACGTGTGAGTAACGTTGCGTCGAAATTCCTCCTAATTATGAAAACCAGTGAAAGTATGTACTTAACAAAGCTTCCGCACCACAATCCAGATCGAAGTCAAAGCAATAATTCTAGATGCATCGAGCGGCCGCTCCTTTTTCCTGTTTCTCTCTCATGAGGGGCACGCGAAGGGACGGGTTCTACTGTTTTTCCCAAATACGTCGTATCGAAGGATACAAGCTCTGCTGTTGATTACGTAAAGATGAAAGAAAAAGCCATCACGCACGCAAATTGAAAGCAACGAGAGCAAGGGAAAGAGAATCCGAGCTCCCATTGTCCAGCAGCGATGTGGCAAGGTTGTGAGTCGTCTGCATGTTCTGGTGGAGCGTCATGGGACGGAACTGACGTAATGTGGCTGATCATTGATGCCCGACCCTCCGGGCAGTGTCCAAATGGTCAGAATGTTTCTTCAGCTTACCCGTTCTGTTTTTTGTGGAAATTTATATTTATCGATGGTATTGGAGAAATAAAGTGAGAGATTTTTTCTTTTTTAATTTTTAATCCTTCTGAAAAAAGTTGAAGTATTAAGTGTAATTTTAGTTTATAATGTACTTTAATATGATAATCGGTAAAATTATAATAATTTTTAAATTACAAGACTGCAAGCTCACAACAAAAATTAAAGATTTTTATCCATAATCTTGAAAATATTTTCACCTCTCACTCATTAAATTGTTAATTTCAATACAATTATTAAATATTAACTAAGCATGATAATTGAAGTACATATTACCAAGAAAGACAAAATACTTATTACCACATAGTACTGAATTATAAATAACAGTATTTTATTTAAATACAGTCATGCTCATGAGGCCAACAAAATAATCTGATAGTATTGAATTAATGCGCAAAAAAACTTTGTGATTGAATAAATTGATGACGACGATAATAACGGTTATAATAATAATAATATTGATAATTATGATGATGATGATGATGATGATGATAATGATGATGATGATNATGATGATGATGACAATGATTAAGTACGATTAGCATTTCAATAAAATTGAAAACAGTTGTGCGGTGACTGTTAAAATGCGGTCTATTTTTAGGTATATTTAAACAGAAAATCATTTAATTTTTGTATAAAAATAAAAATTAAATTACACAAAACAATTTGCTTGAATATAAAGATTTTAAGGAAGTAATAGAATCTTTAACAATTATTTCACTTAACAAAACTCACATACACAATAACGCTGAGTCTAAAGACAAGCAAGAAAAGGCTCAATCGGCTATTGAAAATATGGCGATGATTTAAAAATAATTATTAAAGAGACATTGTACTGCTTGGACGTAGCTACTTTTGACATTTGTTAACGAGTGAAGCTATAGCCGAAGCTGGTTGAGAATTTTTTTTATTCTATAACATTTTTTTACAAAAGAAGATTCTTATCAAGTTGAATCCATATAATGGTAAGTAGTATCAGGTAGTTAATAGCATGTTTTCAAATGTCCGTAGCTGTTTGCAAATAAATTCAAATACAAATATTTTATTTTTATTTAATAAATTTAAAAAAAATAAGAGGTAAAGTGATAAAAATATCAAGACGATGATTAGGATGAAGGAAAAATATTTCGACTTAAACTGAGGGGCTCAGTCAAGTTAGTTATGACCAATTATTAAAAATAGAATAACAATTACAAATGTAAAGGTTGACTAATGAAGAAACAAACATCGAGCATGAAAAAAAACACAAAAAATTTTTTTTTTTTTGAAAATAGTGGTGGATACACAAAATCCGAATGACTAACGTCCACATTGAGGTAGAAGGGATAGTCAAAAGCAAATTTAATATTATGAACAATATTACGCAAAGACGTAGATATAAGGTAAGTTACACCGAGATACAAACACTGTGATCGAGCCCTAACACATAATCATGGAAGGACAGAGAGAGATCAAAACATACAAGGAGGGAGACTGACAAACGTAAAGACTTAGAAATAGTAGTTTAAAAGAAAAAAGACATACAAATAGTTGTAGAAATAACCATAGAAAAGAGAAATACAGAAATTTGGCTGAAATCGACTCTAGAGGACCGATATTGCTAAGTTGAAAAAAAATAAATAAATAAAACAACAGTAATAAAGTACAATATGTAAGAAAAAAGTAAGAGAAACTAAAGATAGAGACACAAGTAAATAAGAAAAAAAGACACAAATTTTTAACTCAAAATTGTTTGCACAGCGTCAGATACAAAGAGAATAGAAAACCTTCGAAATGAGCAATGTAAAAAAACATGTATTAAAGTCTACAGATTTAAGAAATAACGTAGACAACAAAGAAAAATGTCATCAATTGGCGAAAAGTTAGGAATAACGCAAAATTCTGACTTACTGGGATCTTTAAGTAAAATTATATATTTAAATACACTAGTTTTATTGATCGAACTTATATTTTATACTTAATAATCTCTCCACGATACTTTCGACTTCACAAACGTACATAATACACACGTCTTATTATTTTTGTACTTTTTTTATTTTTTCTAGAAATCTATTAATTTAAACACTAAGATATAAATAAGTAATTAATTATTAAAATAGTTTTCTTAACAAAACTTTTTACATGCCTTTCATCTTTTGACTTCTGGTGTCTTTTTATAAACATCCATTATTGATTTAATCGATTGATTTAATCGATTCATATATCTATAGATCTGTAGTCAAACTATTTGATTTTTAGACTCTAGTTAAATGCTTCACGTTTTCTTTTTCTCTTCCTCTTACATTTTTATTTAATTCGTTATATTACGTATCAGTTTATGTAATTTTATAATTATAATTTTTTTTTTTAATATATCTCTACGGCTAAATCTAATGATTGACATCTTTATCTTTTTATTGAACGAATGAGTGGTTTTCTTACATTTTTTTTTTTTCCAACTGTTTTTATTAACTTTTGACTCTACTTAATTTTTTTGTTTGTATTTTTCAGAATTCTTACATCTCTTTTTTTTCTTCTGTTCAGCTACGTGTATCTTTCTTTTATCTTAATTTCTCAGTATGTTCTGTTTCTTTTTGTTTTATTCATGAAAACTCAATGTTATACAGACACAGACATAAAGTAAGTTACCTGTATCAGGAAAAAGAAACATTGACATATTTTATAATACAATTGAATAAAAAATAAATAAATAAAAAAAAGCTAGAGCAGAAATAACAAAGGATAAAAAAACTACAGATAAAAAATGCGTAATGTATTAAAGAGGTGAAAAGAAAAATAAAGTGAATTGAATAAAGAAAAGCAACAAAGATAATGAATTTGATACTTTTATTGCAAAAGAATACAAAGATTCAGAATACGTATTCCAGAAGTCCTAAGTCCAAAGTCTTAGATCAGAAATAAAAATAGTGCAAAAATAAAAGCATTGAGTTTAGAAAAAGCAATAAATAAAACAACAATCTAACGAAATCACACATCACGTTCTCAATTAGAAAGGGTACGATTATTTGCTGATGATTATGAACATTCAATCACAAATAAAGACCCTCAGTGATATATTTTTAAAAGATAAAATTAAATCTTCGATATAGCTTCACAGCATATACGAAATTCGTATGAAAATACATCGGGCGTGACGTAAGAATATTTGTAATCAAAAAAGCAGCTTGACAGTGAATTTTTTCTCCCCCCCAACCACGTAAGATCTTTGGACGATGGAAAAAGAAAGCCTTTCTCTCTCTCCATCTCACACATTGGCGGTCTCAAGTGACTCAATTGGCGTACTCAAGTTCAGAAAAAATGCATTAGCGCCCCTAGCAAGCTCGCATGCGCGCATACACGCACTCGTCGCTCGAAAGAAAGAATCCGCACATTTTTGCCGCATTTGCAACAATTACGGGCTCAGCGAGAGAAACTCGAACGAAATTTCCCGTCCGTAACAATAATCCAATTACACGTTCGGGGACGACGTGCAGCTGCTGCCGCGTCGCCGACACAGCGCTCGGGGGCAGCCTTGAATATCCGCGAGCGAGTATATTAGGCATGCAAACGAAGCAGAGCACAAAGGAAAAAGTGCCGTGCACTCCGAGGTGGGCTTGGACCAACGTAAGGAGCCCTCCTTTCCGTTCGTCCAGCGGAGCTTTTTATAGGGAACAAAGTGATGGCTCTCGCAGTGATTCCACGATAATAACGATGATGGTCGGACCGGCGGTGGTATGCGCGTGTCACTATCCCTGCAGGCAGGACCGGCAGTGCCTGCGATTTATGTATAGGTAGAGCTAGAACGAGCCAACTAAACTGACAGAATTGCGATTCCCCGGTATGACGACACCCACGGCACTACGACGTCCGAGAACCCAAAACCCAGTCTCTGCTTGCTACGGTGATTATGATGATCATGGCGATGATAATGGTGATTATGATGACTGCATATCGGTGGTGGTGGTGGTGGCTGCGGTCATAGGTGTACGTACACACGACAACTTCTTCTTACACTCGCGCGCGTTGGATCGAGAGAGCGCGACCGCGTATGCGTTTCTATATCCACGTGTGTATGTGTGTGCTCTGCACCACCGCATCCAGAGGAGAGAAACGAGCGCAATTGCTCGGTCATCTCTGTCGACGACGCTACTGGGACCGACTTCTCCTTTTGCCGCTCGCGATTTTCATAAACGTGGCTGTAACGACTTCCTACTTTATGTACTTCGTGTAATGTCCTTTGGTGCGATATTATAAAGACACAGTAGCGCCGAAAGTGCAGGATTTCTTTTGTTTCTTTTTTTTTTTAAATCGGTATATAATAATCTGTGGTGAAATCAACTGTAGAGTGAAGCACGACGGAAACAGTGTAAATACGAGCGAAGGAGCTTTCAGTTGATCCATATAAACCACAGGTGGTTTTTTTATTTGGTCGACTGTTCTTGGTTCACCTGCGATGGCAGTTGCGATTAGCACGCGGCAATCGTATCAGTGTTACTATTACTGGTGATTTTTTTTTTTTTTTTTATCACCATAGATTTTTACTTTTTAATTGTAAGGTAGTATTAGTCGGGTATAAATCGTTTCTGCCCTGGTGATATATGCTGAAGAAACTACACTTTGGGTGATCATGTTCACGAGCATCGTGAGGACGAGCAGGTTGTTCGTTTTGGTATTGCTGTTCCACAGAGGTGAGCAAAAGAATTTTGTTTTTTGTTTTTTTGTTTTTGGACGACTTGATCGTTTTTTATGGCATTTGAGAAAAAAATTCATGACGACAAGCTCTCGTGGATAGATTAATTGATTATGGCTTAAACCTTTTTATTGGTAAATATAATAAAAGACTTCTCGTGATTTTTGTACAAAATAAAATAATCCAAATGAGAACTATTGAGGATCTAGAAATGATACATTAATTTTATTAATAAAAACAAGGTCTAGACTCCAAATTCTGAGTTAAAAATCGCAAAAAAAATTTTAGCTTGCAAACATTAATTCTGAATGTCTATTTCGCAACAAATATATACCATTGATTATTACTCCAGGACAAAAATAGTATTTCTTTGCGGTTTTCAGCTTACATGACACTTTCACTTTCAAGACCTCAATTACGTATGAAAATTTTATAAAAATCAAAAATATATGTTTGAATTTTGAAAAGTGTAATTGACCATTAACCAAATACTTGCTTCAATACAGAAATCACCAAATAAAATACTTTTTCATGACCCACTACGAATCTTTCGTATCGACTACAAAATTCACTGATTCAATAGCCGGTCTCGATAAGGAAGCAATCACGAGTTGAATAAAAATAAAACGAAATGTACAAATCAATCATGCATTAATGCACCCACATTTACAGTTGTGGGCCTTGGTCTTCTTCTGGAGGAGGAAAAGGAGCCAAGTTACCTGACCGCAGCCGTCGGCGAGAACGTCATCTTCGATTGCGATCTTGACTTTCCGCACGACATACCGATACCCTACATACTCCACTGGAATCGTGATGTAAGTTGAACCAAGTACACGCATCGGCAGATTTTCAGCCAAAGTCAGATCCAAGCGATAAACGCATCGATTATGGTCGATGGAGGCAAAACGACATCTAATGTCTCGCGACTTCCAATTGCCACCGGACTATAAAGCTTTCCCCTTTTCATCACGTGTTATTGCACAACCGATTTTTCGCGAATCGTACACCATAAATCAATACGGTTTTTGTGTATCACGACTCGTTGAGCAATCGAAAATTTCGAGGGTAACATGATGCCGATCTTATTAAAACCTCGAAACACGACCTCGCCGTGACAGCGCGCTTTATTTTGCAAGCATCGACCGCACGCCGGTGTACATGTGGTACCAAAGTTTTCAGGAAAATAACGCACCTCGTTGGTTTATTTACCACGCGCCGCTCCATTGGATCTCTCGGCGTCCTTTTCGAGCTCGTGAAAAAAAAATCGGTTATGCAACTCGCGCATAGATCTACTTCACACGTGTACCACGAGATCGGCAAACATTACAAAGTCGATTCTCTAGGAATAATATTTTGTGATTTTACCTGTTTAATGACCACTGAAAACTAAATGGAAAAAAGGGAAAAATGACCGAACCGTAGTTTTACGACGAAAGAACGATGTATCTTCCACGTCAACCTGTTTGGCAATACACAAACTGATACAAACGATTCAATGGCCATAAAAAAATCAGTACAAAGCTCCACCTTTGGTCTACAAGTCCTTGGCCGATCGATCGTCTTTCGGATGGATCAGCCCCCTAAAACGACCCGGAACTGCTCGTCTAGGTGGTGGTAAATATTTCGAGCGAGGCCGATAACTCGTGCGCCCAGCCGGCTGATTGGACGATTAAGGCGCATTACGAGCACGCATGGGCCACAGACGAGCTTCTCCGGAGGAGCGTGCGAGGGCTAGATTGGCCGGGCAAGCGCGTGCTCGTGAGATATAGGACCAACCCTTTTGCTGACAATCCTAGAGCACGTTGGCTCGCGTGACGAAGGCTGCGGAGTCGGATGCTGCGTGTTTTCGTTTTACCGATCTGTATGGCTCTGGAATCATTTCAACGAGAATTAACTTTAGCCTGTTTCAATGTCTCGGACGGGTATGATGCGAGGGCATCTGTGAGAATCAGGTTGTCAGATACTTGGTGTTGAATGCATGAGATGGTTGTTTTGTAATTTTCACCTGTAATTGATAATGTTTATTTGATCATTTGACAGTAGATCGTGGTGGTGATTCAACCAAAAAAAAAAGAAAATCCTATCTTGATTGATGAAGAGAAAAAGAAGAAAAAAAAACAATAGGAAGCTACGTGAGTACGGGTCGCTCTCGAGCCTTGGCTTTGAAACGAGCATCAAGTCCCGCAACAACTTAATGCCAGTTTGAACTGGCCATTATCTTCAAAAAAAGCATTTATGATTTAATTCGTCATCCTGTTTGGGAGCCCGAGCCCCAAAGCACTCTAGTTGTGAATCCATTAGTATCTCGAATGCACGTTCTCTGGTCCAGCGTAATCGAATGAGGAATTGACAAAACATGACAATTCATTTTGATTTACGTACGTGTGGGCCTCGTGATGCGTGAAAATCATCATATTTTTTTTATAAACAACCTGCAATTTGGAAGGGAATTCAGTTTTTAAAAATTTTCTTGCAAACCTATCGTTGAAATAATAACTTGTGATATCTTAATCCCCCAATTTTCGAATTGTAAATATTACTTCGTCGTATTTATTTCAGTCGAATTACCATATCTTGACAGAAATGTCGATTACATAAGCTATATATGTAAAATTGTACTGTTACATCTATGAAGCAAATAATGAAAGTATTAAGCACTAGTTTTTTCATTACACATTTCACGGGATTAGATCCTTTTTACAAAAATTAAGTAACAAAGACAACCGTCAATGGATGCCTGCAATTTATCGTAGTCCAAGGAAAATATGAGACTTAAAAACTTTTCTTATTTGGTGTAAACATACTTATAAGCTACACGTTCTCTTTAAACATATACTCTTAATTTAACTTTTAGTTTGTTATTCCTGTATATAATTTATATCAAAATAGGGTCAATAATATTAAGTTACTTTTAATTTTCGTGATTGTGATATTAGTAATTTTTTTATTCCCTAAGTTATATGAGCGATTTACAAAAAATGTCTATTTAGATCATTTCTTTTTATCTGTACTGTAAAAATTCCATGACGTGGTCTCAGCTTTCTATAAGTAGTTCATTACATTCGATGCGATCAAACAAAAAAGTCGCAGACAATGTACCACGTGGAATTTTATGGAGCATCATAACATGTAAAGTATTAGAAAATATCGCAACTCCAAGTGAAAAAATTCTATTTCCCTCTTTATTTATGTTGAACTATTCGTCTTCTGTACCACGAGAGTTTGGATTTCATAACGCGTACTACTTCCACGCGAGAAGTAATATCCTAGCGTAGAGCGTGACGACTTTAGATCTTAGCTCGTCGTTTCGATTACACTCGAGATATTCGTGAGAGAATCGCTTCCAGCTCCTCATTGGCTTGTTATAAATAACACGTCAGTAGAACTTATACTAGAAATTCAAAATTACACATAATGCACTACCATGTGACCTCATTTTCCAAACCATTTTATCAATAACAAATCGATTTATCGAAGTCAAACCCATTCCAAGCAAAATAATCACGTTCCATGTCACCATTCATACGGAACAATCGAAACTACCGATCCTACTTCACGATTTTAACTCCACGTAGTTTTCAAAACAGCTATGGATGCCCCGAAACATCCCAATTTATACCTGCCACCTTTGCCCCTCCCGGTCGTGACTCGTATTTCCTTGATCGTTGGTCAATTACAACCATTGAAAAACAACCTGTTGAAAGCCGAAAAAAAAAAAAAACAACCATCATCAGTGTCCGTTGCGCGTCCCATCCCTCGTTCGTCCTTGGCATCGGGTCACGCGGCCATCGGACAACACGTGGGAGAAGGCCCCACAGTTGAAAGCTAGAGCGAGAGAAAGATGAGCGGAAACCGAAGGCAAGCCGGGGGCTGATTGGTGCCTGATGCTTTGCATGCAAAGCAGCAGGTAATACGCCACTACAGGGCCCCTCTCTCGCTCGCTCTCGCACGTGTTTGTACATAATACACATGTAGGCTGAGCTAGTAATTGGAGTACGGGATGCAAGGCTGCTGTACTACCGACGCTTCGGTCCGCGCGCACATTGGTACATTTAGCGACGATTGCAAAGTTATATAAATACACACGCGTGTAAACGTGGGCACAAACAGCCAAGCAGAGAGGGTCTTTCGGTCGTATCGTGGTTGGGACCTACTGCTTATTTGGACAGTCAAATCAATTTGAACCTACTTGTGTGATTTTTTTTTCCGAAAGGGAGAGCCATCCGTGAGATCGAAAGGGGTCCGCTAGTCCGGAACTTTCGTTCGGACCGGGTCAACATTTACTTGTAAATATATGGGCAAGATCAGAGCACGGAGATGATAATGAGAAACAGAGATATAGGGACAGCAGGAGTGGGTCAGCTTCCGTTGTCAATAACCCCGATTTCGTTGAACTGGCACACACGCACACACTCGGCGCTCGAGCTTTTTTGCCTCGGTGCCTTTTCATCATCTCCCGAGCGCTGTTGGGCGCAGCTCGTCTAACGAGGCTATTGGTAATTAACGGCCCTCTTTACTCGAATTAGCGATGCGTGGACGCGTGTTTAGGCAATACGCGCTCGACTACGATGTTTCGTCGATGGCTGGAGAAGGTTAGCTTGTTGACGACACGGGTAATCGTCGATACGCTTCTGTGTTTGTTTAATCTACAGGCATCCAACCTTTTTTTTTTTTTTTTTTTTTTTTTTTTTTTTTTTTTTTTTTTTTTTTTTTTTTTTTTTTTTTTTTTTTGTTGGAAAATATTGATGGTTAAGTTGGAAAAAATTCCTTTGTGGCATCTGAACGTAAATTATGTGTCTGTCTCATTGTGATAACAGAGTCAAATACTTTAGTAACAGGCATTATTTGCTTATTTGCTAAAAATAACAGTCTCGCTCTATCCACCCGTGCAGCGTGTGTATTACCCTTTAACCCCTTTCTCTCGGATAGAGAGAAAAAGAGATTCCCCGATGGTATGTAAAGAAAGGTTCGCTGTGCAGTCCACTTGGCAATGAAGCTTGTTACTCGTGACTTCAACGAAGAGCGCGAATTTCACGGGCAGCTGCATACAAACGTCAGCTTCGTGGAATAGAGTGTCTCAGCGGGTTGCAAGCTACTTTATCAGCGATAAATGAAATCCCCTCTGAGGCTGGGATCTTTTAGCCAAGTAATTCACTGCCTAATCTTCCCTTGGCATTTTTTAACCGCATGACTTCTAACATGCTAATTAATGATCGAGCGTTTCGCTGTGTGGAATGGAAAAGTGATACGTATGATTTTTTTGGGGGGAGTCAAACACAGGAGGTGGTATCTGCGTATACGTAAGAAATATTTTTTTTTTATTTCTAGCACCTAGAATGAATGAAGATGGTGTTCCTTTAGATTTGATGGACTACCATTCTTTAGATGTAAAAATAACTCATTATTCTTTTAACCCTTTCGAATTAGGTTTGTTGATTGTTGAAAGCTGTGGTGCAATTGATAGGAAGAAACGAGCTTTCTACCATTTTCTTGGCTCCAGATAATCTCCTAAAGATTAACTGAGATTCAGCCTGTATTTATCTTGCCAATTAACTCATTTCTTGTGCATCAAATGCATAAGAAAAAAGCTTACAACCCAATGGCTCTCGAGTCTCATGTCTCAATTACTCCTTTTTTTTTTTTTTTATTCTGTGTATCAAATTAGTTAAAGGGCTCTCAAAGCGCATATATGTAAAAATAAATAACTAATAAAACTGAGAATCAATTATTTTCTTTGACACATTTTTATTACTACCTGGACATCTGTTTTGATTCAAAATAATTAGAATAAAATATTATAAATTACATTACGGAATGCTCGTATGGAAAATTAAGAAAATCACATGGACTTTTCAGTTAAGAAATCCATTAAGTATAACATACATGTACAGCCAAAAAACAAACTTAATCCCAAGAAGACCTCTCATAATGAACCAAACTATAGCTAATGTCAAAGTGGAAAAGCCTTAATTTAAAGAGAAATTAAAAAAAAAGAACCCCTACAATAACATGTAAATTGCCCCTTACGCCAGCCCAAGTGGGCTCCGTGCCTCGTTCGCGACTTTATGCAAAACATCACCTAAATTCTCTGATCGACTCGCGAGAGCCCTCATTCGCGCCACTTCCCCCGGAGCCGCACAGAACAAATGCAGAGCAATGGCGCGCGTCCAATTCCTCACACATCAGCCCGAGCTAAAGAAAGAGCGCGTCAATTGGCAATATCGCGCGTCCGCCCGCTACACACGAGCTAGCCTCCTGCCGGCTTTTCGCCGCCGGATGCGCCGAGGAGAGCGAGAGAAAGAGGAAAAGGCGACACGTCCCCCTTGATTCGCGACAATTACGAGCGTCTTCTTCTTCTTGAGAGTCCCTCTGTCCAACTTGCCATGACGATGGGTCCCATGGTGATGTAACTGCCCACCAATTTGGTCATCGAATTTCAGGGAGAGACGATATTCTCTTGGTACGATGGCACGGTATCAGCGGTCCACGGCTACTCGGGTCGTATGCACCTGATTGAGGACGCGCAGGCCCGTGGCTACGGTTTGGGCAGCGTCAATTTGACCAATATCCGGGAAAGCGATCAGGGCTGGTACGAGTGCAAGGTCATATTTCCGAACAGGACGCCCAGCTCGAGGAATAATGGCACCTGGTTCCAACTGTCCATCGACGGTGAGTGTCATGATACATGCGTTGGCTGACTTTCTGGTTTATTTTTTTTTCATTAATAATGTAACAGCGATGAGTATGATGTGCTATGCCTTTTCATAACTACTGACATTATTAACTGATACTAAAATTATTAATATTATTGGCGTTTGGGTTAACACTCCGTGTTATAAGGCCTGGATAAATTTGATACAAGAAATTTACTTGTGTAAGTGGGTAAAAGTTTTTTATGTTAAAAAAAAAAAGAAGAGCGTGCAGGTGGATAAAATTACCTACGGGTTTTAAAACGTGATAGGCCATGGTAAAAAATGTACATCAAGTTGAACATGTTCGTTAAACGTGTTAGTAAAACTAGTAAGTGGATCTTAGTTGTAGGACATTATCCTTTTTTTGGTAACATAAAAAGTTTCGGCTAAACTGGAAAAAGATCTGTAGTTATGATTCTAAGATGGATTTGACAGCATATTCCGAAGGAAAAAAATAACATTTACTTTTACGAATGTAACAACACCTTTATGTTTCTTTTCATTTTCATATTACTTTTCAATTTTACTTTTCGGTAGCAAAAAAGTGACATAAGAAACGTAATACTTGAATTTTAGCATTGTAGAAAATAGTGTTTGAATTTTTTCATTTAAAAACGTTCTACGTGGATATTTAATTACAGAAAAACAGCTATCTAAATTTGCACGTAAGAAAAAATACTAGCTGCATAATAATTCTAAAGGGTCCAGCTGGGCAAGAGGAGTAAAAGAGCTCCAAGCGGTTTTTTTACTTTTAAATAATAAATGTACAGAATTTTTTTTCAATGTTTGGAGCATAATTCAAATTTTTAAAGACCTTAAAAATTTTTTTTAATTTTACATAAAACCCTTTATTGACAGGTATAAAAAAAAAATTTTTTTTCACAAAACACACATTTTTTTGTATCGACTTGAATTTTCCGTAATTTTTCAGAGTGGTGGAAGTGTGGAACAGGTATAAAAAAAATTAAAAAACATCGATTTATGCATCACTGTATCACTACTCCAAAAATTTTTCACCTCGTATAAGGCGAGAAAAATAAATAAATAACAAAATGTATTAACTAGAAGTTGCGTCAGGAAGACACAGAGATTACGATACAAAAGAGTTCGCCAAAAAAATTGAAAAGATAGCTGATCGCACGGCGTGAATGAGATTAACTGAAAGAGCCCGTCGAGTGTTAGCACGCGCGAGAAAGAGAGAGAGGAAGTACGTTAATATGCGTAACAGCAAGCGTCAGCTTGTGAATTGCTCATGTATGTACCTACATCACGTACTCTTATTACCACCACCTACTGGGTAATTATAATCATAACTCCTCGTCGGCGCGGCTTTTGTGGTGCGCTTTTTTCAAACTCAACATTGCATCAAGGCATATACTTATTACGTATTGACGTATCGCTGAACGCGCTACTCATTGCTTATACCGCGAAGCTGTATAAGTAATATGCTGACTGATTCGCCTAATCTAACTGATGGCAATTAACTAGCTAAGCCTCGAATGCTCGTATATAATCCAAAATGTAAGACACGCGCGTTGTGCCGATAAATCTGGAAATGATTAGACGAGGAAGCTGGAATTTCGAAAAATATTTCTTCCATAATACATTTTTCAAACATAAAACTCTACGTTCTGTAGAGATTGGTGCAGTCTTCATGTAGGTCTGGTTTGTATAGAATACCAATAGAGGTACTTTTTCCCCATCTTGTAAGGAGATACGAGTATGTAACCAACAGTCATACTGCTAAAAAACAGGATATGATGTAAATGATGATACCATACTTTTTTAGTTGCAATGTAGGTCAGAACAAAGTTTAGACGTAGATGTTCATCTACAAATCAATCAAAAGCTCATAAAGCTGTTTATATCTGAGTTCCAGTATGAAATTAGATATATTAAATCGATCAACAGTTACGGGAAATAAAAACCCTTATATTTCCGAATCATCTCGAAGTCAACTTATGATCATCGATGGAATATAATTGTCCATGACTTTAACCGACTACGTTTTTGACTCCATTGAAACTCAAATTAAAGTTTGTTCCAAACCTTTTTGATTTTTCTCCAATTTTTCGAATGCTACAGCTTCATTTTAAGTAGATATATTTTGGGATGACAGAAAAGCGTGTCTTTAAGTCAATTTCGAATACAAAATAGACTTAGCTGCTGCTAATGACTACAGCTACAGAAAGTTAGACTACGAATCTGGAAACTATGCTATAGGTGAAATGTTTTTCGAAATTTTTGTCCTCTTAAACTGATTATTCAGAATTTCGGACACGACTGTGACGGTGTATTCTTCGTATTGGTTCCATCGTGTCTCCATCCAAAGGGATGCAAAACTTTTCTGAAGTCATAATAAAAACGCCAGTGCACTGCTTTACTAACCCCGCTAACCAGTCAGATTTCGTTTAAATCGTTCAACCCAGGTGTGCTGCCGTCGACCAATGTTCCAGGCGAGACGCTTCTGGCGGTGCCACCCATCAACAAGACCGTCATGGAAGGCGATCCAGTGTCTTTTGACTGCATCACTAAGAGCAATAAGTCCACCATCGCCTGGTACCGCGAGGGGCGTGAGATCATAAAACAACAGGTACGCGTTTCTTACAGAATAACTTTTCTGGTTGATTCTTTTTTTTTTTTTTTTTTACTTTTTGTCATTTTGTGGAGAAGAATGTGTAAATAAATAGTTTATTTACATTCATTGAGAATCATCAGTCTTGATATAAGTGTATAGATCTACGTTTATCTTCCCAGATAGAGAACCTAAGAGTATTCAACTCAACGGAGAATAGATTTTTTAATTTTTGGGTGAAATTTTTGGTAAACTAAAATATCTATTAGTAAGTGAACATGGAGTTTTCACAAAAGTCCAAACACAAAAACATCTCATGATATACCGTCCACAGAGTAGATTAATTTACCGTTAGATTTTAGTGGTTAATTACAATAAATATGACAACAAAAAGCTTTTTATGTTGAATTTTTTCATTCATAATTTTCATTTTGTTTCATCTATCCAATATTGTAAGCTTTTCATCATCGTTAAAAATTTATTGGTGCATGCTTTTTCATCGGGATTAGTAAAAAATCGTATACAACTCATGGGAGTGGCACTCACTACTTGGCGATAGCCTTTATTTTATTTCTTTGCCATGCTAAACGGATCATAAATTCCTCATAATTCTAGGATCTTATGGAACGCGTTACCATAGGTGCCGATGGATCTTTAATTATCAGCCCAACATTGATGGGTGATCTTGGCGAATACAGCTGTACAGTGACTAATGAATATGGTGAAACTCAAAGCGGATCTGCCCATCTTAATGTGCAATGTAAGTATACAATACTTTTATAATGTTTTTCTGTATAAAATAATACCATAATATGTAGTTATTATAAGCTAGAAATTAACATAAACGAATATCAATTATATAATATCCTCACAACACCTCAAAAACATGTTTTATTTAAAATTATATTTTTGTCTCTATTGTGTATTTTCAACATATTTATTATTGTTATTATTATTATTATTATTATTATTATCATTACCATTATTACTACTATTATTAGTTATTGTTACTATTATTACTTAACCAACTTACTTTTGGCCGTAAATGCAGACAGTTATTTTTTTTGTAACCCTTTGTTCAAACCGCACAAGAAATTCATTTTTAGAAATCACATTATACTTAATTGTATGTTAACTATGGTATCCTTAGTAGAAACAAATAAATTAAAAATAAAATAAAAACACATTATTATTTATGATGTGAAATTCATTTTCTTTCATCTACACTATGTTAAATGGCTTACTTGTGAGCATTCTTTTTTAATACAAACATTTTTAACATTCAAGTTTGTGTCCTTAATCAAATTCAGAATATTTTGCTTTATTTCATCACGTGAAAGTAAATTTTCGATGCATTACTCTTTTCTGAAAAGAGAAAATAATTATATTTTCTAAAACAATGTTTTCAATCTTTGATAATTTATTCTCTTTTCGAATTTGAGTGACTCTTTTTTTTTTTTTTTTTACTTGAATAACTTAAACGGGCTATGCATATCTTTATAATTGTATGTTTGAAATAAAAATTTATTTTTGTCTTTTCTCTTCCACAGACAAGGCAAAAGTTATATTCGCACCCAAAGAAGTGTATCTCCCTTACGGAAAGCATGCTCTTCTGGACTGCCATTTTCGTGCCAATCCACCATTGACCAACTTGAGATGGGAAAAGGACGGATTTCTCTTTGATCCTTACAACGTGCAGGGAGTATTTTACAGAAGAAATGGTTCGCTCTTTTTCAGCAAAGTCGACGAAACTCATGCTGGCAGTTACTCCTGCACACCTTACAATGTACTTGGCACCGAAGGACCAAGTCCTCCAATCACAGTAGTTCGTATCATTATTATTTGTCAATATTATTATAATTATAAGTTTAGCTGTCAATCATGTATTTCTATAACATCACAAAGCTTCTATAAATATTTGTTCAAAATTATCCATGATAAAAGTGGTACTAACTACTATATTTCATCTTTTTTCTTCTCTATTGATAAGGCATACCAAAACTCTTTTAAAATTATAAATTTTTACTAAAGACAAATTTTTATGTTTACATTAAGAAAAAAAGAAGTAAATTTATAATCCTAAATTCGGAGAGTGGCAATTTACAATTATTTTTCTCACCAAAGCATACAAATATTATGCCCAGTTGATACAATAGAGAAAATCCGTAATAATCTATTAGTCCGCTCGCACCTCGGTAACTGGTTATTTAACAACTCTTGGCGCATCTCTTTATTCTTCCGTTGAATGAACCAGACGTGAATGAGAACACAATTATACTATTTGACACAAAGACCGAGTGCGTTCAAGTACAGTACAATAATCTTTCAAGTGCTGTATTGTACGTCATTTAATATTATATAATGAATAATGTAAGTTGAAGACGCAACAACAATGTCGAAGCTTTAGGATGATTAAAAAAATACTTTAAAAAAAATTAGTAATTATGTCATGAATATTCGTATGACTACAAACTGTTTATTGCCCTCGTACATTTACACATTTAATGAACTACAAAACTGTTAAATAATTTTACAGCTAACTTACATTATTACTTATATTACTACGTTGCAGATAGTTCAGCGACCTCCAGTTTTTACAGTAACCCCTCAACATTTGTATATGCGCAAGCTTGGTGATACTCTGGAAATACCTTGTGACGCTAGAGACGGTGATATTAACCATCGACCCACTATAGTATGGTACAAAGTAAGTTTAAAATAGTTTATGTAAAATGTACTTGTCAATGTAATTTTTGGATGTGTGATTTACCGTCTTCTACATAAAATCTGTTAAAAATTTTCAATATACTTGACTTTTTCAATATTCTATTGCTGCGTTAGAAGCGATTTTACTACGGAATGATGGGCTTCGTAAAATAATGTTTACTTGTCATTTTCATTTTTCAACTTTACACATAAGTTTTCACATAAATGAGACCTACAGCTCACTACTATCTATATCAAAAACTCAAATATTGACTTCTTTTTTAGAAAAGTAAGCTTGAATTTTAAATACTTAGGTATGGATTTATTATACGCGTTTTTAATCCGCTTTACTCGAACACTTTAATTTCAGGATGGAACACCTCTATCACCCGAGAGAATGCTGATGAGAGGTGGTAACTTGACGATCGAAAGAATCCAAGAACAAGACAGAGGCATGTACCAATGTGCAGCCAGCAACGAAGCAGCCACGGTAGTAGCAGATGCAGAATTAATGGTCCTGAACGTTCCACCTCGAGCTCCTTACAATCTAAGTGCCAATAGCACCAAAAACGCTGTTACCCTTACATGGATACCGGGATACGTTCGGCCAAAGATGGAATATTCAATATGGTACGTTCGTTCACACATAACATGTTGCATCAGAGTGTGAGGATAAACAGAAAGAGCCAATTATTTATTATCAGGTACCGACCCACCGATACGTCAGAATGGAGGACAATGAGAATAGTGTCGAGGAAAATCACAGAAGCAACAGTTGGTAATCTAACGCCAGGGAAGGAATATGAGTTTATGGTGCTGAGCCAAGACAAACATGGCGATGGGATGTTCAGCAAAACTGTTCGAGTATACACGCAACCCAGTCAGTGAATGTTTATATTATAAAAAGAAAAAAATATTATTCGACTTGACTTGGTTGTTAATTGAAATTTTTAATTCTAGAAGCCGATAGTCTTAATGTTGCGTCAGAGTTTAAAATTTCTCTAGGTATTGAAAACTTCTTATGTTGATAACGTCCATTTGCAATAAATTAATATGATGTTTTCATCTAAATGAAAATCCATGATGTACAGATAACGCTAATGGTGAATTGGGACCACCGCGTAATATTCGAGTTCAGCCCACTGTGGAAGGCTACCTTGTGACTTGGGATCCCCCAACTTCTGGGAAAGATCAGGTGAAATTCTATACCGTAAGATGGTTTAGAGGACCTTCGGAGCACTTGTATGGTAGAGCAGAAACAACTGATACTTATTATTTAGGTCAGTGATAAAAAAATAATTTATAGTTTGTTTGAATCAATATGAGCTTTTAAAATTACGCGACTTAATAAAAAAAAAAAAAAAAAAAAAAAAATCATGTGTTGTTACAGTGAAATCATTAGAAGAAGAAAATTACTACACATTCGAGGTCATCGCAACATCAACGAATGATGACATAATGGTCAGCGATCGATTTACCCTGGAAGTTCCAGCGTACCGGAGAAACCGTGCAATTTCCATGGGCATAGTTGCTGGCCTTGGCTTCTTAGCTGCAGCGCTCGGAGCTATTTGGTGGGCAAAAAAACGCTTTTGTCAAAATCCACCGGGTGAAAAATGATGTTTCAACAATTGATCGACAAATTATGATAGAATATTAAGTTTTTTCATTGTACACGACACTTTGTGTGCTCATATTATTGCGGCGTAAAAATATGAGATGAGATTTTTTTTATTCATATCCTATACTTTGTATGCATTTTTTGAGGTTGGTGGTTTGAATGTATTTCAATATGTAAGTTCATAGTATTAAACCAAGAATAATGTCTTTTTACACGTCAAGCAAGACGAATAATTTATGTTTAGAAGTTTGATGAAAAATTAACGAGAATAGAATTTGTTTTCAACATGTTTTAAAAATACAAAAATTATAAATTTTAAAAAGTACAATAAAAAGTCGATTTATTTAAAGATGCCTTTTAGAAATTTATTACAATCAGTACATAGATACATGTTTTTTACCAACTCTAAATAATAAATTTATAAACGTTCTTACTCCAAAAAATTTAATGGCGATTTCAAAAATCTTGTATGAAAATAAGGCTGCAATATAAATTAAAACATAAGAAGTTTGTACATTATTGATTATCGTTCACCAAATAATATACATGAATAACTTTATGAATTGAATTTATTTCTTGTTATCTTACATTTGTATTTTAACTTGCTATAGAGATTGCATTATTGCAAAGGTAAATAAATAAAACTGCTATGAGCGAAGCTTTTCTCCATATAACAAATTACCACTGGTTTTTTAAATACAACAATACTTCTTCAGTAAGCAAATTTTCATTTTTATACAGTGATTAATTGATTTTCATTGACTAGCTAATTGATTATACATTTAAGTATGACGTTTAAGAATAATTTATTGACTAATGCGGTATTTCGTTATCCTTTTCATAACTTGTATGACACTTAAAATAATATACTAATTATTAGATACCTTGTCCTGCGTGCACATTAACAAATCTTCAAACGTTGAACTGCTTGGAAACAAACTACAAGGTATAATCCTATAATTAACTTAGAATTAGTGTAAGTAGTGTACTTGAAAATCGAATGACGAAATAGACATTTTTTTCTGGAATAAGTGAGCTTGTTCTTCGTAGGCTTCTCATCAGTGTACATGAGAAATCGTATTCGTATCGTCTACGTTGGAAAAAATGAAAATGGTACACAAGTTGTAAAATAAATGTATAGTAATGAATAAGCAACAAAATCCGTAAATGATGAAATTTAAAATTATTAATCACATGAAAAAATATGATAACCGTTGAGTGAAATAATATGTGCAATTTAATACTATTTTGGACTTTAAGAAGTTACAAAATGAATTCAGTATTACAAGTACACAGAAGAAATTTGCACCTACATTTTTCAAACAGCAATTGAAATACATACTAAATAAAATTTTTCTTGAAACTGAATAACTTTATTTTCTAATCGTTAATTTTTATCAATAGTCAGAAATTGTATCGTGACTTCTTATCACTAGCCTTTGGCAATCAAATATTAAAACCTACATTAAACTTTCGTTTTAAGCCAATATCCATTTTATTTCGTTACTGGAAACTAATATTTGAACACAACTTATGCTGAAAAAGAATAAAAGTAATTATAAACCTATTACATAATAAATATATAAACAATAAAGTGATTTTATTAGTGAACCATAAAATCAATAAGTAAATTATTAAAAAATAAATTACTCTCATAATTATTATTAAGATCCTTCTGTACAGTAATATGTCACAGCTAAAAAATATTTTTACTTTTCATTATCCTTGCATCACTTGATATTTTAAATCCAGTAATATAGAGCTCATCGTCATCATTGTTTGAAAGCGAACTTTTTTGTCACACCAAACTATTTTAAATATTATAAACTCTGTTTCAATTTTATATGAAGCATATTGTACTCAAAGTCTCTATCAGTCTCTTATCCAATATATTTTTTCAATAAAAACAAGGTTTTTCATTTTCGAAATCACAATTACAAACTTTATTTTCTGATTTGTGAAATTCTTCATGATGCCAAAATTTTGGTTATTAGTAAAAAAGAATGAATAAATAAATAGAAATAATAATAAAATAATAATGAAGAAGTAAATAAAAATGAAAAATAAAGGAATTGTCTTCTTTTTTTTTATTTCCAAGAAATTATTTGTACAACTAAAACTAAAAACGTTATTTGCTCTAAAATTGCAATAATTTGTTTTAAAACATAAATAATCCAAAACATTTCAACATTTACATTTGCTGGCAGATGACATCATTATAATCATTCTTATTTTTTCAATACTAGTAAAAAATCTTAAAAAACGGGTCAGTGAAATTTTTTTTTTTTTAATACTCATGAATTGTGTTTCTTAAATTATGATACCAGAGCTAGAAATAGCGGTAGTGTGAATTAATTTAATTTTCACATTACACTTACAGTAACTTTTTTATTTTCCATTGTATAAAGATGCATTTTTGAGACTGCAATATTATAGTTAGTAATTTTTTGTGATAATTAAATAAACAAACTCCAAATATTACGGGACTCTCAATTAATCACTTGTTTGAATGAGTAATTAGATATGTCATGATGAATTAATAATGTAATTTTATACTCGGATGAGTTTTTATTTATAGCATTATTTTGGAATAATTATCTAAAACACTTTTCGAACTGAGTATTCATTATCTTACATTACGTATGCATCACTTACTCCACCAGCGCTAAGATTGGCGTAAACCATTAAATTTTCTTTGTAGGATCGTCATTAATGTCATCATGTCTTACTTTTACAGAAAAAAACAATGCAAATAATAAGTATTTACTTTTGAGACTTATGTAGAATCATTACTATCCAGACAAGTGAGCAAAGAAAGAATTTTGCTTTGTGAGTTATTACTTTTCCACAAATTTTTCTATTGAACATACAATTAAAGAAAATCGCGAAAAGTCGCTATCTCGGCCAATAATAATTAAAAAGTCTATGAATTACTAAACATTGTAATTTAATTTTTATTATCACTGCTATTTGCTATTTTCAACAAGTACTAAATTGTAGAAAGAAAAGACCACCCAACAAAGCCTTCAGTCCAATATTGGAAAACTGCATGGCTTAGAACTACAGCACTTTCGATTTCGGATGCATTTTTCGAAAGAACAGTAGGAAACCCCCGTCAGTTTTTACTGCACCCCCATAAAAAGTAGAGACTAACGGGACAGCATATCCCACTTCTCCCTCAGTAAGCGGCTGGTGCCTTCGAAACGCTCGTGCGTACAATCACGTGTATGAACTCGTCAATGCACACAAGCGTGAAAAAGACGTAGACGTTAGTTTTCCTCAACAGAGTTTCTCCCCTTCTTAAATAGCGTCGCCAGTGTAAGAAAAAGAGAGAAAAAAAAATCTACCTGCTGCTCCCCGGCGTGCTTGCCCCCGTCCATCTTTCTATTATCTGTGACCGACCCTCTTTCTCGCTCTCGCACTACCTAACGCCAAATCCGCTGCTCCGCCTCGACGCGTCCCTCCTCAGTCAGTCTTCTTGTCGCCGCGCACGAGCCCGTCGTCCCATTCCGCCGAGAGCGCGCGCACTTGACGTCGGCTCGCCGCACGTGTTCGCTCTATACCCTTGCCAGTTTAGTGTTCGGTTTTTGAGAAATACATTCTTGGTTTTACAATGGTGTTGCACAGTATTTCCAAGCAAACTTCCTGAATTAACTGTGGCGAGCGTTTGGATCTTTCCTCAGAAACGTGAGTTTTTTAATATAATTTTTATTTTCAGTTCCGATGCTCACTTGCCAACCTCATATTGCAAGGTGGTAACGAGTACATTGAATGCTCACTTGTTACTTACAGCCTTTTTTGAATGGTCACAAGGATACGCGCCCGTGGTAACGGCACATCAATTTCATTGTTACAATAACGAGCGCGTTCCCACATCCGCGTAATCATTTCTTATTTAATCGGGGATTAATTGCGCGTACGCGCTTGAATTACTTGTGAAAGATTTGGCGATAAAACGATACGTAAAAACGATGCCATTATCATTTGAGCCGTAGATAAGGAGAAATAATTTGAATTTAAGTACAATGTTTCCACAAATACGATTTGCGTAACATTAATTTTCCCACTAATACGTACTACGCGATTCTCACGCGTTATGGTCTGCGAGTTTGATCGTGGCTGCCGATATAAGGGCCATTCTGTACAAATATGATCGACAGTTGTAGGATTTTACCACGCGATTGTTCATTATAAGTACAGTTTTTGCAACATATAATATACTCAGTGGCTATTACTTACCCTTAAATTACTATTTCCTATTATTACAATCATCCTGAAATTTTGTTACCGATAAATTCTTCCATTGGTATAGAAAAAACTGTTTTTTTTAATGCCTCATTTTTCTTTAACAATTTAAAAGTTGAAAAATTGTATCATTGGTCTTGTTAAAATGACAAAACACTTCCTAACTACATATTATTCGCTCGGCGTTGCGTTGTTGTGTTTGTATCGGTAAAATTGAATGTTTCTCGTTTCCAGAACCGGTTTCACGTTACTCATCGCACGAAATCGCGCGCAAAGTATATCGTTACAGAAAAATGTTGCGAGTATATAATTGAACGATACTTTTTGTCATTACGTAAATCCGACAACTCTCGCGCGTCACAATATATCTTGATTCGTTTCAACGTTGGAAGTCAAATTTGTAAATCTAAGATGTTTCAGTCAGTTTGGTTATCTCTACTTTGACTATCGCTGGAATATTAATGTGAATGGAAATATGAAATCTAAATGATAGTTACTGATAATTTTTAAACCTCCACACATTGACATGGCATCGTCTTTTCTACTTTTTACAATACAATTAAAAAATGAATTTAAATAACGCTTTAAGCACATGGCACTGAATTATTATACGATCATTTCGTATCAATTTCAGATAAAAGAAAAAAAAAACAGATTGAATTTTACTATATTTGCAGCGAGCTTTATTTTTACTCCTTTATTTTATCAGTGACGTACAAGTATTCTTCCGAAACGTTCTCGTCAATCATATTACAGTAATCAGTGATCGCGGATATTTTTTTTAAGATAAAACGTATTGGATAGGCACCGTAGAAAAAAAAATAGTGTACACGATTACGAATTTGTTCGTCGATACTGTGGCCTACATGTTTTCGATTTTTCTAACAATCAGCAGTAATTTCGTAATTCGAACACAATCGAAGAACTTACATCATAAATGATGAATCGTTTGATCAAATTATTGTATTTTTAATCAATGAATTTCATATTCATTAATTATTATGAAAAAAACAAAACAACAATAACACTTAATTACTATTGTCACAGAACCTTAAACAAAACTTAAGAGGTAAACGACATAGTTATTTTTTAATTATAGTTTCTTGTTAATGTTCAGGAGTATTTGTATTTATTATGGTACAATATAAAAATTAAGATCCCTTCTTAAATTCAAAAGAAATGATAACGATTCTGTTTTGATATGATATTTACTTGAAAAATAGTGTAAAACCGTTGACCCCTCAAGTCATATAAAAAAATCGTACGTTAATCAACCATTGGTTTTAAGATATTTTTTACATCTCATTATCTCATATATATAAGCTTTTTTTCTTTTTTTTTCATAAGTACTTGTTTAATACTCACAAAACGTCCTAGACATAGTTTTTTTTTTATTTTTTTTTTTTTTATTATAGTGCTCTACGTCCGGCTACTTTAATAAGGACACTACTATGGACACATAGCACTTGGGAAAGGGACAAGGAAAGGGATGGGCCTTCCATCAAAGGAAGGGGATTGGGGGATATTAGGCAATTGCTACGAGAAGGTCGCCTAAACTCTCCTCATAGAGCATTGCTTGGTGAAAAAGCACATGCGAAAGATCACAGAGGTACTTGCCCGAAATGTCGCACTGTTTGGGAATCAGAACCATGGTCACGTTATCTTCGTGTAGTCACTATTATCAATTTTACTTTCAGTTCTCAAAAATTGATAATAAAGGTGTATGAAATGTATGTCATGATTATGCTTTTCTATAATCACTCACGTTTATGCACTTTTAATGGAATTTTCCACTATCTCTCGATTGATTACAAAACATTTAAAAAAAATCTCTTCACCTAAATCAATTAAGCTCTGTGTATGTATTGTTTTTCAAAATAGGTGTCACAATACATCTGGCAGTATGTAACGTAATACTCATTAAAACGTTATTTATCTTATAATATTTCAAGGTTAAATATACTTGCAGATAACAATCGTGTTGACGAAAAATAGTTTCGAGCCTGCGTTGCCCAAACAAACTTACTGATAAAATTCCTATACTTAATCCTTTTTCGCCCCTTTATACGCTTTATATTTGTATTTATGAAACATGTGTAAATCAAGGTATTACCTGCAAAAAAAAAATAATTACAATCACATTCTAATTGCAACAAGTAGCAAACAACTAAATTCTTTAGTTGTGTTCATATTTATTGTTACAAGGTTTAAGTTGACGTGATAATCGGATGATTATACAATTGGTCCTAAGTATCACAACATTGATGTTTGAGTCTAATTGTTGTAGCCAAGAGTGGCTTAGATGGCTAAATACTAGGTCGTCATCCCACAAGTAGCTCGAAAAGTACCAAGCCACTTTGAGTCTGTATGAGATCCTTGACCAATAGGTATATGTATACGCATTAGCTGAAATCTGCGACACACGTGCCTGTTTGTAATTTTACTTGCTGTTTTCACTGTGCTTGATAAAGTGTTCGTTGTTTGACCTTACACCAAAAAATACCTCTACTATTATAATAGGAAATAACGCAACAATAGGAAAAAAAAAAAAAATCAGTTTACCTTTATCAGTTACCATTTTAAGCGTAGAATTATATTAATATTTATTACTGTTATTGTCCTTATTAAGCATCCTCGCAAGCTCATCCATTCATAGAGTTTAACTTATTACGGCCGTCAACAATTTCTTTCGAACATACGGAACATTGGGTGATGTATCTCTTTGTAAATATCAATCATGACAAAGTGTTTACTAAGAATAGCGCATTGAGCTCTTTCTAAAGAAACCAATTTGAGAAAGTATACACGTAAGTGCACGCGACCACATACGTCAAATAGTTGTAAGATTCGTAAGTAACGTAGCCAACACTAAATTTTAGAACCAAACAAATAGTGTTTTTCAAAATACATTTAATAGTAATCATGATTTGTAAGAAACAGTTTTTATCGATTCTTCTTAAAACTAAGAATCTCGATTAAACTCACTTTACTTTATCTTCTTAAATCATTGTTGTAAATTTCTTTGGCTCTCCATCCACTTGGTTTAAAGATACATGCCGTACTAAGTGAACTTCGTCTGCTGATATATTTAACCAGTGTTGCTTTTCAACCTCCAAGAGTTCACATTAGTCAGGGTCGTACGTCATTCACATGTTTCGAGTACCTAGCATTCTCAAAACAATGGTTAGTCTCGAGACCGTTGATTGAATTTATTTGAGATACACTGTTCGCGATGATATTTCTCGATGGATGCAAAAGAAACACGTGCAAAGTGTTAGGTAGTAAGTAGTTGGTATATAATCCTCGTGAAAGAAATTTATGATTTTTTTGGTTTTAAAAAAATGCCTTCATGTAATCTCCATTTTTAAGATTCTTCCGACAACTTTTGAAGTGTGAAAAATATAAACTAAGAGGCGTAACTAGTTAAAAATGTTTTTGATACTCCACCTTAAAATTTTTTCCCAGTTTTTTTCTGTAAACGGTATTGTTAAAATTTTAAATATATAATATGTTTGTACTTACCATTGACTAAATGGTTAGGACTTATTATAAATTTCGATCCCCCTTCTCTACTTACACTGCACATCTGTCGTGTATCTTATTATCATCATACTATGTACATAGTAAAAAAAATCGCAAAAAATTAAAATTAAAACATTGATACTATGTCAGATATATACAATTCAAAATAGATTTAAAAATGAATATTTATCGAATAAAGAGATAGAAGACAAAGGCAACAAAATTATTATGTAGTAACAGACATTCATAGAATTATATACATATATTTAAAAATTAAGATAAATCGAACAAGAAAAATTACATAATCCAGATCATAGATATTTACAGACTTAGACACAGAAATATAAAACTACAGTGGTATACAGTCACTGACTCAGGAACAAAGTAAAAATATGTGAACATAGTTATATAAGACTAAAACAAACATAAAAAGAGACATCGCTTGGGTTACATGGAGATGGAAGACAGAGAAAAAGAAATAAGAATGCAGACCATTAATCACAGAATGTAAGATAGTAACGTAGGAACGTATGGATATTTAGACCTATGAGTACATGTGGACACGTAGACTGAATAATGAAAAATTTAAAATAGAGACCCAAAAATATTTTAGAAATACTGATAAAATTAATTAAGAATGGTAACTTAATGGAAAAAATATACGTTCTTAGAAACACATACTGAAAAAAAGTCACAGGCAGGCTTACTAACAAATATCCTAAGGCTTATTCAAAGATAATGAAATTCAGCAACAGAGAAACAAAGATACAAATACAGATTCAACTACTCGAAGACTAAGACATCAAGGTACAGTCTTAAAGTTATAGAAANAATTCACCTAAATATTTTGAAATAAAACACCTACATATTTTTTATTAAAAAATATTCAAAATGCCAAGGAAACAAAGAGATTTCATTCAAAACTAGAACTTTAATTATTTACATTCCTTTTTATTATTGTTGAAGATTTATGCTGGTGTCAGTATGTATTCAAGTATTGAAAAACATCTTTGTGAAAAAAATGATGTTTCTTACAGTACGGAAAATACCATTAAAAATATCTTATGGTAACATCATAAATGGTTCTCAGTTAAATGTTTGATTTAACCCTCGTGCCAAATAAAATTATTGTACATAAAAATAAATTGTTATAAGAAGCAGTTGAAGCTACATTAGTTGGGAGCTGATCTGAGGTGAAGCTACTCTAGTGGGGCACAGGTAAATACATTCCCGATCGGCTTAACTTTTCATCAGAGATGTTTCTGGCTAGTATTTTTTCTCCTTTAAGAGGCTAGGAGTAAGCATAAGAGGTTCTATAGACGGGGTTAGGATTAATTACCCTACACACACATAAGTGGTGGAGTAAAAATCACACAAAGTAGTGTACGGGTAGAAGTGTACAGTAAAAGTAAATTTATGTTTCAACATTAATTTTATAAGCAGACTATTGATAAAATTGTACAGATTTCTAGAAAAACTAAGAACTTGGAGAATATTTCGTTTTAACTCTTGAATTTTTTAAAACTATTGTAATTTTTATTAACTTATTAGGAATGACACATGACAGATAATTTATTTACTTAAAGTCAAACAATTAAAGTAAACAAGTAGTATTTAATCACGTGGTATATGGGTCAGAAAAAAAAAAAGTTTCAACCTTCGAATAATAAGAACCTATTGTAGAGATTCTGAGAAATGATTGGTTACACAAAGTTTATTATTGAATAAAACAGCCTAAAACTTTATTTAAATTAACTTATTTAATTTAGATAATATACAATTTTACTTTATCAGCTAGTAAACAAACAGACAGAGATAAACAAAAGTTGAACTTGTATAAAAGCTTGTGCCAAAAACAATTTTAACCCTAGTAAAGTAGTTTTGCATTGTCTGGAAGTAATTAAATTGTTGAGAAAGGAACAATGAATGACTAATCCAATTACAAATTATGAGTATTTTATTATGTTTTGTTCATACGTAATCTTAAGTGACCTGAAACTTTTATTGAATACTAATAATAATTATAACAATAATAATAAAAATAGAGATATAGAAAAAAAAAATAAAAACAGTGTTGTAAATAAAAGGCGAAGTCGTTGTAAGAAATAACTAAAAGAGTAAAAAAGAAATATTGAAATGGAGAAACATAAAAACAGAAGCTCAGATTAGATACTGATCTACAGATGTATCTTACTGTAAATAGTTATACTAACACTGAAATAAAGACACTATTACTAATACAGATAGTGGCTAAGATTGTAAGTCAACAAAAGTTTGAGGCTAAAGTAAAAATATGACAAATATTTAAACACTAATACAGAAGAAAAATAGAAAAAATGTTGTACGTTACTTCAATTACCTAAAGGTAACAATAGTTTTCATACAGTTAAAGAAGTAAAAACAAAATGGAAAAGAATTCGAAAAATGACAAAGCACCTATAATAAAGGGGGAATCATGGTTAAATTTTTACTGTAAAGGCGTACGTAGATACAGAAAAAATGTGTGCTCGTATATGAGGACCAAGAAAAATAATAACATAAAATAAAGTATCTGGAAAAATACAAACAGATATGCAAAAGTAAAGTCACAAAGATTTAACGGCAGGGATATGTTGATGAAAAATGTAAGTACGGCCATCTATACAAAGTGGGAAAGAAATTAAACAATAGATTCATTGATAGACATATATAAATTTAGAGGTACTCCTATTAAAATAGTCTTACGAATTTGGAAAAACAGACCAAAGACATAGAGATGCACAAAATTTCAGAATCATCGGTTATACTAAGATAGATTTATTAATACGAGAATGGAGGTAAGGATATTATTATGGAGCCAGAGACACAGTGACAAAATAAGTCAATGAAGTAGAAATCTCGTAATTTAAAAACAGCTACAAAGGCAAAAATACAGAGAAAGAAACAGTTAATAGTGTTGAAGATTTTATAGTGAGTCCTGAGGGAATTTAAAATGGAGGTACAGAGACGGTACTGTAGAGACAGAGACATAAAGACGAATCGTTAAAAATATCTCAGAACCTTAAATTATTGCGTGGGATTCAGTTGTTATAACGTAGTATGGTTTATGGCAATTTCGAGATTTTTCTATTCCATTTTGCGTTTCAAAAAGTTTTACTTAAAGTTGGAGATACTAATATTTGGTTTTAGTCTTAATTTTTGCACTATAGTTGTTACGCGCAACAATGCAAAATGTTTTTGAAATAGAAAGCGTTTGAAAAAATTATTAAAAAATCGTCTTATCATTATAAAAACGATAGATTGGAATCAAATAACTTTTTTCTTGCATCTGGTGCATTGACTTATTACTATACTAATTAAATACTATGAAAAGAAATATATATATATATAATGAAAAACACCTTTGAAATACTTTAAATCGTTCCATGCTCATTCATAAAAAATATTAAAATGAACTTGAATAAACCATTTCAGTATCTTTTCAGTTTGTATTTTCTTACGTTTTAAAAGCTGTTCAGCAAAAATATTTTCATAAAAAATTATAATCACCGAACTTACTATCTTCTATTGCTACACTGTTCTCGAAAACTTATTTTTATTTCAATAAATCATACATTGTAAGTTAATCGTTACAATAGTTAGATTTTAAATCAGTGAGGGAGGTTGAATCGATTATTAGATGATCATCTGCTAAAATTCAATTGATCTATATAATTCGACATTCCTTTTATTTAATCGCAGCAATATACGATACTCGATTCTTTCAAGCACGAATCATCTTTGATCCCATCGAGTCCGAAAGACTGAGATAAAAATAAAAATCAACACATCTTGTTTAAAGCTTGTATCAAACATTTATTATCATTTTTTTTTTTTTTTTTTTTCAATTCATGTACTCGTAATTTTTGTACAACCAAACATCCGTGCGTCTCTTTGTTTTGTAACTCGAAGCCATACTATACGACCGCAATCATGTAATCCTAATTACCGCGTTTCTAATGAATAAACCTCACTTCTAGATGATTCAATCATCACAGGTGGATGATGTTACCGAGTTACAAGCCAGAAAATAAAATACAGTATTTTTTTTTGCTCACAAAAACAATATGTAATTCAAGTTTTCCGCAATACTTTTAATTAACAAAGACCGCATCTTGCATGTTTATTTCCGTTCCATATCGTACAACAGTAATTATCGAGTGATCGGACGTAACGAACGAACTAACGTTTATTGACGGAGTCAAGCTAAATATTAAGAGCACCATTGTTTAAAGGCTTCCAATAGAAAATGGTTTTGCCTTATGGGTTGCAGATCAAATCAATTACTCCAATCATAATCTATTCAAGATCAATTAAAAGTTAGGTATTATTTTGTACAATAGCTGAAACACGACACTCTCACGCCTCTAGATCCCTCGTTATTCTGGATATTTAAATATCGTCCCACTTTTCTCATTCGTATTATTAGTGAGCCGCCTTTCGTTTTCAAGTGAAAAATTTTTCGTCTGAGCGTGGGTCCCAACCTTCCTCCCAATCGCCACCCAAATCTGACGGTATTAATCCACAGGAAAGATTTTCTCAAGCTAACCACCGCCGTCAATTTTGGTTGGAAAAATCGGCAGAAATAAAAAAAAAAAAAAAATAGAGGAAGAGCCGATTCACAGCTAGTCCTGATTAGATACTCATGTTGTTATCTGTTGCAGCAGCCGGTCAGTGTACAGTGGGTGACACGTACACTCGCAAAGAGTCGGAGGAAGAACGACGTCTTACTTCAACGGAGGAAAGAAGAGGAAGAAAGACAGAGAGAAAAGGGAGCACATGCTGGTATACAGAGGCCATAGCTTGGAGACACCAACAGCAGCAGCCGTAGTCGTAGACGTGCCGCAGCCATGAGGCCCTGGACTGTCAGGCGAGCCTTGCTGGGCAGCGCCGGCCTCACCCTCATCATCTTCGGCGCGGCCCTGTACTTACTGCGACACGCTATCTTCGGCAAAATCGTTAACAACGTAAGTACTCATTTTTTTGTTGTTTTTATAAACTCGCTTCAGTTGAAAAATTCAATTTCGATGAAACTCGATTTAAAAGTGTCGCGCTCTCGTGCGGTCTCACACGTGACGTAAAAGTGTGTGATCCAAACGTTGTGGCAACGACAGCCGCGCCCTGAATGATCGTTTTGTTTATTTATGCATGCGTTAATTATAATTTCTTGATTTTGCCTTGAGTCAATATTGTAGCATATTCTTAAGCTCATTTTGTTGAGGTATTGTTGCCGGCCGGCTCAACCTTAGCGTTGACTTTCGTAATTGTGGTCGTTCGTGCTGATACCCTTTTGAAACATTGACTCATCGCGTAAAAACTCGTATATAGTTTTGTAAAAAAAAAAAAAAAAAAAAATCAGAGTATTAATTATAGCTAAGACGTGTACGAAGGTTGAACACTTTTTTACCACTATATTTTTTTTTTTAATTCCGAAAAACATGGATTCTCGTGACACTTAACGCTCGCGTGTTGTAAATGCGCTTCGGTCACTCGGTACTTACTTTAAAATTATTCTATTTCTTTTGGCGATTCATTGTGTCATTTTAGTGTCGTTGCAACTACGAGCTTGAAAATTTATTTGCTTTTCGACAAAGGTATTTTTGACGGCACGCACAGTACTTCCTTTGTTGAGTAATTTAGTAGTGACATTTCATTGGATCAAAGGAATTTCTTTCATCAATGCAAATGAAATATTTTTACTGTTACTCGTTTTAAGAGACTATAAAAAAATGAATTTTCATTCAGTGGTATCTTAAGATTTCCTGTCTTCAAACGATTGATGAAAATGATTCAAACGTATGTTTAAGGAAAAAATACTAAAGTCTTTGATTTGAGAATTTATTACATGATTATGTAAATATCTGCAACTAAGTAAGCTTTGCCATTGGCTCGTGTCCCACTCAACATATTCGTTTATGCAATTGCTCCTTAACGGAAACATTTTTATAACCGGTTTTTAATACATTGACTGTTTACTATTACGGATTTTTCATTACTCTCAGACAATGTGTCACTGTCATCAATTTATTTTTCATAGGTACTTTCACTAACACCAAACTCTAAAGCTTATGAGATGTGGAGGGACACAGACAAGATGAACACATACTTAGATATTTATTTTTTCAATTGGACTAATCCAGAAGATCTTCTAGATTTAAGCAAAAAACCAAACTTAGTTCAATTAGGACCGTACAGTTTCAGGTAAATATATATTTTTTTAATTTATGCAAATTTTATACACTTCATCTGTATAAAATTTAAATTAATCCAAAAACATTTTTATTTTATTTTCTATTACTTTTTTTTATTAAAATACTATTTATTTCTAAGCTTAATAAATTTCAATTACCACATATCCCATTTTTCTTGACATTTGCTTAAATTTTTAACCCACTTAGTCTTAATCTAAAATTAAGAAAAATAAAATGTATAATAATTGTTCGTCAATGAATTTTTGTTATTTAATATTGAGGTAATTTGTGTGCATTTAATTAGTCACATGCATCTAAGCTATACTCACATATTTCTTTAATCAAAACATGAGCTTAATCACTCCAACAAGAAACGTTATATCAAAAAGATATGTATCTTACTAGTGTATATCGTATGACCGGGTGGATACATTTACTAAGTAAAACAAATGAATGTCTGCAATAGAAAAAAATTTTAGTTCTTAAAAAAATTTTTATTCTATTTTAGCTGATGATTCAAAAATAGTTTAACATAGAATGTTTACCACAAACAATCTTCGTTTAAATCAGTTAACTTTTTCTTAATTATAAGACTGTATTAAATATTTGAAATTAAGTAAGTCTTTTAATTACCTTCAAAATATACACTATCACGAAAATCATGCAATAGTTATATTAAAAATTTATAAATTTTGCTTAGTTGAAATTTTTCCGATTTTAAAAATTTTATCAAATAACCTTTCCTATTTTAATAATTAAATTTTTTAATAAAT